ATGCTGTCGCTGCGGCAGCGCATGATGCACTCGCGGTTCCGGAACCCCTTCTCCCGCGCGCCCGCCAGGCCCTCTTTCAGACAAGGTACTGGTTTTGTCTCATCCTCACTGTGGTTTTCAGTGCTGTGCGCAGTTTTCCAGCGTCTGCGATGCTCAGGCACCGGTACGCAGCTGCAGCTTTGTAGATGTGACGGGATCCCATCCTCTTGACCTTCTGGTGGGGTTTCCAGGGTTTCTCCTGGTTTCCAGCTGAGGCGGCTGGGGCTGCGGGGTCTGTGCGGCTGGCCCAGGTCAGACAGCCAGGAGGGCAGAGCGGCAGCCCTAACCCAGCACTGAGTCCCGCAGGCCTGGCCGCTGCACTACCCCACTCGCCCCTGACCACTCGCCCTGCTCTTCACCGTGAAAAGCCATGATCCCCAAGCAGGTCCCTGTACTGGGGCTACTTTGAGCTGTTCCCCTGCCCGGCACATTGGAGGCGTCAGTAAGAAATGTGCTCTTCTGTGCCTGGGCCGTGTTCTTGTTGATTCTGCATACAAAGCCCTCAACTGAACACGCGGGCAAACTCCGATGTCTTGCCATGAACTGCTTAGACGTTGCATTCAGTGATGTTGTTAAAACTGGTGGGAAGTACATGTTCAAGACAGTTGTCACCTAGAGTTCGAACAGGCGGGTGTGTGACTTACATTGAGGGAGTCTACATGGACCCCAGGGCAGGACCTAAGTAAAGTGTTTCCCAAGTCTGCAGTCAGTTACGTGGCACCTGGCACTCTCCCTGCATGGAGTCGGGGCTTGACAGAGCCTCTCTGAGTGAACATAGCGGCGTTTGTTCATCTGTACAAGGTATTGTTCGTTTAGCTCAATGGGAAGACGGAACACGTGCCTCACATTGACGTCAGGGTCCATTAAAATGGACTGTCTTAAGCCTAAGACCCCGGTAACAAACAGAGCTCACATGCCCTTGTACAAAGTACTCAGTAAATGTTTAATTTTCATTAACCATCTGAGCAAGAGAAATAAGTCTCTGACCTGCAAGTCATTGTCAGGGAGCCCAAGCCCTTGATCCCATGGAGGGGCTGGACCACAGAGTGCTCCCAGCAGAGCCGCGGGGACCTGCGGCTGAGAAATGGCGGGAGATGGAGAGGAAGGGCAGGAGACAGGAACAGGCGGACACAGCGACCGAGAGGGCCGCCAGCTGGACCCTGTACTTCCTCTCCAAGCAGCTACTTCCCAAGCGGCCGGCAGAGCTCAGCAAGCCGAGTCAGCCCCGTGCATTTGTCCTTGGCGGTTGACGGTGGGGACCTGAGTTGGCCAGGGCTAGTTGTGCTGAGTAACCCTGCTGAGGAGAGCAGGACAGCAGCTAGCACATTTCAGAGACAATTTTCTCCAACCCTCCCTCGCTCCCTCCAACTTCCAACTGGGTAAAATAAAGCTATAGCAACTAAGGCCTTTAATCTTCATCTGGATAATTTACTTATGCTGTACACTCCCATTCCTCCAATACAGCCAGAAAACCGTGACTTTACTGTGCTCTTGACATTCGTATTTGTCATGTAGAAGTCAGTTTAGATTATCATCATCTCATGGACATGAGCTGTTGGTTTAAAGTTCTGGTTGTGTTTCTGTTTGAAATGATGTTACCGCTTATAGATTGGCATGAAGCCAACTCTGTAGGCATGTGGCATTGACCAGGTTCTGTTACTTGTTTCCTGTGCAGGTTATAATGGCAGGCCAAGTGTAGAGGGGCGAGGACTGCCCGACACTAATGGAAAACCGAGCGGACAAAGAATTATCAATGGCCCTCAAGGAACAAAGTGGGTAGGGTGAACTTCTTTACACATCTCAGTTCTCATGCTGTTGGGAAGAGAAAAATGGTGGACGTTGTGTACCAATAACGAAGCAGTCTTTTCCCTCTTTTTCTCTGGTTTTCACCACTCATCTGTCAATATGCTGTACTCTATGCATTCTCCTAGCGACCACAGAGATCTTTGATTCTCCTGAGTAACTAGTTTTTTTTCTCATGGCTAATACGATGAGGCCAGGGCACTCAGACAACGGTATGGCTCACCACAGCCGTGACACAGAACTTGAGGCACAGCCTCTCAAATGAACTTCTATTTTCCCAGTTTATTTTTTCTTTATTGTTTAGTTAAGTACACATATTTTCTGCAAATTGTCTCAAACCCTTTGTCAAAAGGAATTAGAGTGAAAATAAATGAACAAGCAAGAAAACCCTGAATAAGTTTATTTTTTGTTTATTGTTTAAATACACATATTTTCTGCAAATTGTCTCAAACTCTTTGTCAAAAGGAATAAGAGTGAAAATAAATGAACAAGCAAGAAAACCCTGAATCAAACAGGCAGTTTTCATCAGATCACCGTTTGAATCTTCCAATAATTGTTATTTGTCTAAAATAACAAATAGATATCAGTATTTGATGTACGTTTAAGTTAAATGACTAACTTCTTGGGTTTAAGATACATGTTTAGGGATTTTAGGTGGAATTCCCAGTCAGCACTTCCCATTTATAACAATAAGGTTTAGAAAAACATATTGGACTTCATGAAATGTTCAGTACAGATTATTTAAATATAGATCTTCTCGTTTCTCAAAGGAACCAATATTTATTCCAGGAAGAAATGCATAGTAAAGCAAATGAATGTTTAGGGATTTTAGGTGGCTTGAGGGTAATGAGAAGAACACTATAATATTCAGAGATTTGAAATATTTTTTCAAAGAATCAGAAAAGTATTCATGGTGGAATTCCCAGTCAACACTTCCCATTTATAACAATAAGGTTTAGGAAAATGTATTGGATTTCATGAAATGTTCAGTACAGGTTATTTAAAGATAGTTCTTCTCGTTTCTCAAAGGAACTGATATTTATTCCAGGAAGAAATGCATAGTAAAGCAAATGTCATGTAAACAATTTTGAATTGAACTGTATGGGTGGATTTCAAAAGTAGGGTTTGTATCAATGAGCCTTACTTTAATTACTGAGTCAGGACCCAACAAAGTGGCCTGCTGGCAGGGGCTCCTTCACTGGTCTGAGCATGCAGTCGTGGTTCTCAAACGTTAGTGTCAGAATCCCTGGGGATTTACCAAATATGGTCTCAGGTATGGCCAGGTAATTTGCATATCTGACAAGTTCCCAGGTGACACTGAGTATGCTGGCCTGGGACCATACTTTGAGAACCACTGGTGTGGAGCATGAGTTAGCAATACCTTTTTTTCAAGTTTTATAATTCCTTAGGGTATTAGCTTTTTGCATACATTCTATATTGGGCAATTTAATTCCAAATTAAGTTGTTTTTGTTATAGTGTGGAGCATGAGTTTGTTCCTTAATAGAGATAGCAATACCTTTTTTTCAAGTTTTATAGTTCCTTAGGGTAGTAGCTTTTTGCATACATACTATATTGGGCAATTTAATTCCAAATTAAGTTGTTTTTGTTATAGTAACCTTGATTTTTCACATTAACAGTAAAATAGAAGCATTTCATGTTTTTAATATATTAGCAAGACATGTTCATTGCAAGAGGTTGAAACAATTCAGAAATATGTGAAAAACATAATAAGCATTCCAAATCACTTTTTAAGGATCATCACTGTGAGTGGTTTGGGATGTAGCCTTTAGGTTATTTTCTCTGCAGTTTTAAGCTTATAGACACCAATGAATATATTTTTATTTTTGAAAAATAATCATCCCTGTAACCTGAATTTATATCAGTATATGCCACTATATGTAGAAATTTTCAATCCTTTTCACTGGCTGCATAGTATTCCACTATATGGATGTGCCACAGTGTCTTTATCTCTGCCCTCCATCAGTGGACACTTAGGTTGTTTCCTATTTTTCAGCAGTACATCATCGTACTAAATGGTAATTTGTACATATTTTGTATATTCTAGAAACAAAATAATTTACATGCTGTATGGGTAAGCAATTATAATAGGAAATACCATTGTTTTACCATTTATTCTCATTCACCCTTATGAAGGATGCTGACAAAAATAATGTTTCCTGTTCACTTTAGTATTTCCTTCTGTGGCAGCTTCATGCATGTATTCCTGTAGTTGGATGAATGTGACCATTTTGAATGTCCAATATAGTCTTTAATCTGTGTCGTGGATTTAGGTGGTGGATCTTGATCGTGGGTTAGTATTGAATGCAGAAGGAAGGTACCTCCAAGATTCACATGGCAATCCTCTTCGGGTTAAACTAGGAGGAGACGGTCGAACCATTGTGGGTAAGTGAGAATGGTTCTTACGGAACAAAAGTGTCCTGACTTCGCCCTGATTTTTAATGGGTGCCCTCGGTCTAGTTACTTTTGACCACGTGCTTTTCCTTGGGTATAACTGTCAGCAGTATTTCCAATGGAATCCACCCTCTTAGGAAAGGTGGCACTCAACTTTGTTCTGGAAATTGGCAGCCTTGAGCAGGAGTCAGCCAACTCCGACCCACTGGCCAAACCCTGCCTGCTGCCTGTTTTTGTATGGCCTGTGAGCTCGGAAGAGTTTTCACATTTTTAAATGATTGCAAAAATATTCAGAGAATGATAATCTTTGTGACATGTGGAAATGACATGAAATTCACACTTCCGTGTTCACGCACAGGGGCTCGTGGGACATAGGAACACTCGCCTGTCACTGCCTGTGGCCTTTGTCCCCTGCAGGGCAGAGCTGAGTGGTCACAACAGGCAGCGTCTGGCCGTAAACTCCAAGTGCTTCCTCTCTGGTTTGTTAGAGAAAGCATTTGCCACCCCGGCCCCAAGGAGCACTTTTCCTCCTCAGTGTAGGGATGAGAGGAGAGAATCACTCGCCTTACTAAAGACTGAGCGTTGTATGGGGTGATGGGGCAAGGGGGTGCATGTTATTAATTTAGACGAAGTAGCACAGAGCAATGGGCAAGATGGTGAGCCCAGGGATGTCTGGGTAGCAGCAGGTATGTCTGCCTCAGCGAATAGCCTTTCAAATGCCCTTTCTTTGCCTTTTTACTGATTAAAATACGAGAATAACAAGCTTTCAGGAGACATTTCCACTTGCTTTTTACTTCCCCTGATTGTGTCCCCTCGTTGCACAGACTGTATTTGATCTTGTTTCAGATCTGAGAGGGACCCCCGTGGTGAGCCCTGACGGGCTCCCCCTCTTCGGGCAGGGGCGACATGGCAAACCCCTGGCCAGTGCCCAGGATAAGCCCATTTTGAGTCTTGGAGGGAAGCCTCTGGTGGGCTTGGAGGTCGTCAAAACAACCACCCGTGCCGCCGCCACCACCACCACCACCACCACCACCACCACCACCACCACCACCACCCACCCAACCACCACCACCCTGCGCCCAACCACCACCATCCGAACCACCACCCCGACAACCATCACCACCACCACTCCCGAGCCCACCACAGCCGTCCCCACCTGTCCCCCCGGGACCCTGGAGCGGCATGACGAAGACGGCAACCTGGTCACGGGCTCCAGTGGGGCCCCGGAGTGCATCCCTGAAGAAGGTAACTGTCTTCATCTAACGGTGGCCCACGTCACTGCCTCGCTGCCTGTCAGCGGGGGGTCCCCCAGGCTGCAGGGAGGGGGGGCAGGGGGACAGAAACTAGGGGTGTTTCTAATCCTACAAGTTTGTTCAACAGCACTGTGCCACAGCCAGGGTTGTCAGAGTTAGCAAATAAAGACATTGCACAGGACATGCTTACAATATAAATTACTTGTCATTTACCTAAAATTCAAGTGTAACTGGGCATCCTGTGTTTTATCTGGCAGCCCTATCCACAGCCCAAGTCAAAAAATTAGCTAAAACATGGGACATTATTAGTTTGGACTAGCATTTCCAAAGTGTGTCCCTGGGTATCAGTAGGTTAGTATTTGTTAGATAGAAAGATGGATGGATGGATGGATGGATGGATGGATGGATGGATGGAGAGAGATATGTAACCTATATGTATATGGCTCTGTGAGTAGCTATGTGATTTAAACAAGGTTAAATGACTGTCTTACTGGTGGGCCATTCGGACTGTTTTTCAGTCTCATGGTGAGTTTCCAGGGAAAGTTGTTCCCAGCACGTTGGGCAGGGGGACACTTTTTGATCAGCAGGAGGGGCTTCCACTGGGGGAGGGGACTGCACCAGCTCCCGGCTCTGGGACACCCACTCGGTCCGTGCTCTGCCTGTGCATGTCTTCCTCCTGACAACGGAGCTGGGACCCTCAGGGTCAGGGCGCGTGGAGCTGAGACGCGTCATCTCTGCGGCTGCATCAGGCGTGGAGGAGGCGAAGTCCTCTTCTCCCCGCAGGGAGAGGTGGATTGCCTGTCCGCTGCAAAGCTTATGTCTTTTTAAGCTACTGCAGAGTGAGGACCTTCCTTTCAGCCAGCATTCGCAGACCTGGGATTCTCTCACAGCACCGCTGACCATGCCAGGCTCCAGTCAGTGTCGACTTGAATGCCGTCCCCGAGGGGGGCATTGTGTTTGAAGTCCTTCTTTGCACGAACAAGTTCCAAATAACCCAGACTGCTTCCCACCTAAAAGCCTGCCCCAAGAACAGGAAGCATCCGAGGAAGAGGAGCATCCGGAGACGACCTCCCTGTCCATTTGCCCAGTGCATGCGAGCTAGACTCACCTTCGGGTTTCTGGTACCAGCACCTTCCGTACGTTCCTTGACCTCGTCTGCATGCATTAGCGTCTTATCTTTAAAAACTGAGCTATAATTAGAGTGCTGACAACAATTAGCTGTAAGCAGAAGAGTGACTACTTTGGATTTCGCTTTCATTGCCATTATCAATATTTTGAATTTTCTTTTGTTGCTTTTATAGGCTTTATTGCTGTTCCCTCATTTATTTTGTATTTTTGGCCTCTTATTTGGCATGAAAGTGGATATTTTTCTTGGCATGTTATTTCTCCTTTTCTTTGCAAATCCTCATATATACACAGGGTGGGCAAAAGTAGGTTTACAATTGTGAGTACACAAAACACAGTTTATCCTTATATTATTAACTTTTGTATTATTTATTTGTATTACAATTGTAGACGTACTTTTGCCCACCCCTGTACGTATATTCTTTTCTGCATCCATGTCCCTTCTTCTGATTCCCTGATATTCAAGTGTCAATAATGACTTGCCTCTAGGCAGCATTTTCAAAATAAGTACAATAAATGCAAAGTTCTGGGAAAAAAATTAAATGTAAGGGAAAAAGTGCATCATCTTTAGATAAGATTACAATGTATTACAATTCATTACTTTAAAAAAACAGTTGACCCTTAACATGGGTTTGAAAGCACAGGTCCACTTATACATGCAGATTTTTTTTTCAATAAAAACTATAAATGTATTTTCCTTATGATTTTCTTAACATTTTTTCTCTAGCTTACTTTATCATAAGAACACAGTATGTAACAGATATAACATACAAAGTATGTGTTAACCGACCATTTGTGTTATTGATAAGGCTCCCATCAACAGTAGGCTCTCAGTAGTTACATTTTGGGGGAGTCAAAATATACTCAGATTTTGACTGCATGGGTGGTCAATGCCCCGTCCCCTGCGTTGTTCAAGCATCAACTGCAATTTGAAAATCAGTCACAATTACTCTAGGACAGTGATGGCGAACCTATGACACGCGTGTCAGAGGTGACACGCGAACTCATTTTTTTGGTTGATTTTTCTTTGTTAAATGGCATTTAAATATATAAAATAAATATCAAAAATATAAGTCTTTGTTTTACTATGGTTGCAAATATCAAAAAATTTCTATATGTGACACGGCACCAGAGTTAAGTTAGGGTTTTGCAAAATGCTGACACGCCGAGCTCAAAAGGTTCGCCATCACGGTGCTGTCCTCGAACACCTTGCGGTGGCCTCAATGTGCCAACACACCCGTGCGCTGTGCTGACTCAGCGGAGAGGTGCTTCCAGGAAGGGGCTGATGGCAGCAGAGCCACGTCCTAGGTCTCCCCGACCGAACCTGCAGGACCACCCGCCCCGGGTCCCTCCTCTTCCCCTGCTCCGAGTCTGTGTTCTCTCACACCCTTCTCTTTTGTTGTATTGAGCATATAGTGCGCACTTCCAAGGCCTGGGGTCCATGTGGGCACAATTAGTACTTACCAAGCACTTTGTTTATTGTTGTGATAATTACGATTTAGAACCAGCATTAGTGATCAGGGAATGCATATCTGCTTATCCAAGCCCCCCCCCCCCCCCCCCCCCCCCCGCTTTATCTCATCTCCCAGTCTCCTCAAGTTTTGTTTCTAGGCCTCCAACTTTAAAATCATCGTCTCAGTCTCAGGTCGTGGCTCCCTGGTTAAAGCATGCCCCCTTTTCCTGGAAACACGGCATTCAAGTGACGTTCTGGAATAACCTGTATCGTGCAGCCATCCCAGCAATGCAACCCTCCAACTTTAAAATCATCTCAGTCTCAGGTCATGGCCCCCTGGTAAAGCATGCCCCCTTTTCCTAGGAAACACGCGTTCAAGTGACTTTCTGGGAATAACCTGTATCGTGCAGCCATCCCAGCAATGCAAGTGTTTATGTCCTTTTGCATTTGTCACGGATGCCGTCCTTGCGTGTGTCTTCCTGTGGGCACGGATGCAGATTACACGCTTGTTTCCAGCGTATTGCTGCTTCCACTTCTCTGCTCCTTTCTCTCTCTCCACATGCGCACACACACACATCCTTTTTACTTGCTCTGACTGCACTAGAGAGAATGCCTTCCTCCCGGTACTGGATCCTTCCTCTTCAGTATCTAAACAACACCTTAAGCAACAGGCGTTCTCCGTTTCTACCTGCGGAGTAAGAGCCAGTGCCCTTGTGCTTCAGGTTCCTCCTCTGCAGCGGGTCTGATGAGGTCATGTGTTTGGAAATGGGAGGCGCCAGCTGAGCATCTTTGACCATTTGTGGGGCCTGTTTCAGAAACACAGTCATGTTGGAATGGCCCCACTGGCCACGCTCGCTCCCAAGACAGAAAAGACGAAGAGGATAATAAAAAATTCACTGGAGCTGGACCAACCGTACACTTTGCAAATGTCCTTGGTTTCAAATGACCGTCATTCACCTCCTCTCTGAACTCCTACTGAGAATCGTTTTTATAATTTTCAAAAGTATCTCTGGAGCTAAGGCCTCGTTTTTGGGGATATTTTGCACTCGTTTTTTTAACGGCCATTTGCGTAAGTCACTCGAGAGAATAAAGCATCCACCATGGTTGGCGGCTGGCAGTTACTTGTACATGAAGAAGTGGAAGCTTTTGACACTGGAGCAGGGTTGACTCATACAACGTCCACTTTTACGTAGTTCCAAGTGGTTGAAAGGCATCCGGAGGGGCAAATTCTGACGGTCAGCTTAAAAACATAAGTACACTGATTCCACCTTGAAAGTAACTTTTACTTGGAATCAAGATGGTGCTATTTTGGAAAAAGCTGCCTGACTTTGTTTGTTTTTTAAAGAAGGAGCACTGCATTACTCAATATGATGATTACTTTTGCCAGAAGACGTAACTGTTGCTCACCCGAATAGGTGACCCTGCTTTGCGGGTCCCAGGCACCATTTCTGTGACCTGCTGCCGGGCTGGGGTACTTCAGCGCCTCCAGGAATTGTACTTCACCCTGGGCATCCACGAAGGAAACCCTACACTTTCCCTTCCCTTGTTCAGTCTGAGATGCAAAAATTATATGACTTATTCATTTGTGACTTGGCCAAAAATAACAGTGAAAAGAAACGGGTCTGAACCGATAATGAGGAAAAACAAGACTGTTCTTAACAGTTCAGTGGACGAAGGAAAGAAAGAGGCGTTCCTGGAAACAATGGCAGGATGACCTCCAACGCTAGGTGCCCTGAACTTGAAAACTGCTCGACTTGACCCAGCCCAGGAGTAATTCCTCTTGGATCCAGGCGTATTGACATTGGAATGACCGAAGGGAAATCATGTCTAATGGTTTTTCGTGAAACGACCATTGTGAGCCCTGAGGGTGGATCATTCGCTTCTCTCTTGCGGACACCCACGGGCCCCATCAGAGCATGCCCCGCGTTAGCGCCGAGAGGGTGAAGTGGGTGCTGGGCGTCCCCCAGGCCCCGGTGGCTTCGGGCTTTGCCCTGTGTTCCTCGGAAGGGCCGGTGGCCAAGGTCCTCCGCTGGCGGGGTTTGTTTTGGCGCCGTTGCATTCATGATGTTATCCAAACCAGCCTCAAAGGAGGCCAGTGGGCTGAATCCTGGGGAATGATCAATGAGTGTCTCACAATGAAAAGTTCAAATTGGTGCCTGTAATTTTTTAGGGGAGGGGTTTATACACCTTCCACTTCACCTGCCCCTTTATTAAGCTGGGGAATGGTGATTCTAGTAGCGCAGCTTAAGGTTTACAAGAGACTTCATGGCTTAGTTGAACATTTAAAAAGTGGAGACAGGTTATGAAGGATAAAGTACACAGTCTTTGGAGCCAGAGGGTTTGAAGTTCAAGTTCAGTGTTAGCTCTGCCTTCGCCAGCTGTGGGGCCCCAGGCACATGTAAGTCCTTGGTGTCCGTGGCTGCCAAGCAGGCATGAGTCCTTGCATGTATCTTCTGAGCAAGTGCAGGAGGCCCTGACTCTGAGGACTTATGCTCATGAACCCGCCATGGGGGGAGAACCATTGTGCCCCGGACACGATCCTGAGCCTGGAGCCCCGGTGACCCTCTCTCCCTTCCTCTTCACTAGATGATTTCTCAGGATTGGAGACGGACACAGCCACACCCACGGAAGAGGCCTACGTTGTCTATGATGCAGGTACTAACTGGTTTTAAGCACATTATTTGGATAATTTCTTTCCTGTTGGGAGGACCTTATTTTAATTCCTAAGTGGATGTCCTGAATTGCAGTTTCCTTCAGAACCCTGGGGCAGTGGCCAGCCTTAGGGAAGGTGGTGTACCCCACACTTCTAAGTTACCCCCAGTACATATTTGATCCAAAGGAAGAGTGTGCGTGATTGAAAATACAGCTTCCAAACAAGTTCCCTCTGCTCCCCACCTCTCCCAACCCCTCCTTCCTCCACAATTCTCAGCTGCCCTGTCTGAGCCTCTCCCTCCTCCGCTCTTTGTAAAACTGACCAACATCTCAGCTTCCTCTCGTGGCTCTTGACATTCTTCCCTGTTCTCTCTTTTTCTGATTCCATTGCAAATGCAATGCTACGGATGTGTTGATTTTTTTTAAAATCATAGAATCTTTTCAAGTAAGGGTAAGCGTATAAGATTAAGAGTACAAAACGCCTTGGGTAGCATCTGGAACTGTTTCTCAATGAACGGTAACAACGGTGTTGTTATACTTACGACCCTGCGACTCGGTGGAGAAATTCATGTTGGCATCCTGTCCCCACCCGGGTGGCGGCCTTTGACACTCAGAGATCCTCACTTTTGCCCTTCACCTTGCCTGCTAGTAGCCATCGCTCCAATGGTCTGAAATCACAAATGTGGGAGCAGTGTCTCCTTTGCTGCAGTCATAATACAGTTTGATGCAGTGGTTGAATCGTACAAACAAAAATGAACTTAAAAGAAAACATCAATGTCAGAACGCAGAGGAAGGTTCCTTAGCACCTTTGCAAACACTATGCAGTTTCCCATTACCTTTGAGCAGCTGAAAAGGGAGCAGTTTTATTTTCTTTTTTAAATGTTAAAAGATTATTTCTCTTAGCAGAATTAATCCCACCTCCTCCTCAGAAAAAAGCCAAAGATGATAAATGGAAAACAATCAAGTTTATTTTCTGATGGGAATCTGTTATGCTCTAGGAGGGGAACTGATTTAGGAAGAGACTGGCCTTGGACAGGGGCCAGGGCCATGCTAAACTGGGTGAATTCTAAGGCTCTCTCAGCTTTGATTTAAAAACTTCACTTTTTCTGGTCAGATGTGGTTCTTTTTTCCCGTCCTCTCTTTTCTCTGCAGCTGCTTTTCTGAGGGGACGGAAATGGGGGGAAATACTGTTTTATTAGAAATAAATTATGTTTGGGCACGGCATTTATCGGGGGGTGTGTGCGCGCACGCTTTAATCTAGAGTGGGATCTTAGAAGGTCTCTTTTGGCTGCAAACAGCGCTCCTTTGCAGGGAGTGCCCAGTTACAGAGCCTTCATCCCGTTTCAGATTATGAACTTGAGACGTCGAGGCCACCGGCCTCCACCAGGCCCCCCACCACGGCCACCACGCCCGCCGTCATCCCAGCAGAAGGCACCATTAGCTCCTTCCCCGAGGAAGAGTTCGACCTGGCTGGAAAGAAGCGATTTGTCGGTAAATAGAACTTTCTTAACCTGTGGAACGGGATTTAGCTTGGGCCCTTTGAAGACGCACATGGCCAGCCCCTGGCCTGGCCGAGGAGGCCCATGTGGAGCAGAAACTTCCCCAGAGTGAAATTTCCACTTGGGGCGACCAGCGAGTCACTCCTGTTGCGACCACAGGGACTCTCTGCGGACAGCAGGAGAGGGGCGCATGCGGGGGACTTGGAATTGGACAGAGTAGAGATGGGCTGATCTGTGTGGCCTGAGAGTAAGGGACACTAGGGAGTATCAGGTCGGGAACACGAGTATTTTTGTCGCGGCCAGTGTCTGAGACGGGACTTCCTCGGGGCTCGCAGAGATGAGCACTGACCGACTGATGGTCGCCCAGAGCCAGGGCTTTCCTCTGAGTCACTGCCTGTCTCTCTCATTAGCCTCGAGGCCTTGGGACCCATGAATTTATCCTCCTCTTTGGCAGCTACGGAGACAGTTTCGAGAGGAAACTGTTTTGCTAAACTGTGTTCCACTCCCTTTGGGAGTCTTCTTTTCCCACGTCCTTAATGAACTTCACTAACGAGGCACTTAGATTAATATCTTACTAAGTAGAAAAAAATAATATATGACTAAGTAGACTGGCAACAGCTTAAACTAATATCACACTCGTTTGTTTCCAAAACAAATGCTCTGCTATAAGCAGAGAACAGCTCTTGCCAGCCAAGATGTAGTTCTGAGTGTCTCGACGACACGCACTTGAAGAGTGAGAGTAATTAATGTGAGGCGGCATTCCTGCGGGAGATGCCAGCGCTGGCCCGTGGCAGGCAGCAGCCGGCTGAATTCACCAAATCCGACTCTCTCGTTGCACGCCGGACTCGGAACTCCCGTCAGCACTGTTATCAGCGGTCCCAGAGAACTCCGCTGAAGACGGAGAGGCTGCCATTGTCTGGCTGTTCCTGTGTGTCTGTAATCTATACAGCATAGATTACTCTCCAAAACTTCCAGATGAGATCCCTGGACAAGCCCTGAAGGCCCAATTTTATACAAACTATTGGGAAATAGAGGAGCTAAAAATTGCCTTTGGTCAGAATGGCCACTGAGAAGGAGAACCCGCACCAAAAGATGCAGTGGAACACTTAGAAAGTCCTAGAGCCCTGGCCCGTTTGGTTCAGTGGATAGAGCATTGGCCTTGGACTGAAGGGTCCCGGGTTCGATGCTGGTCAAGGGTCCATACCTCTGACGCAGGCTTGATCCCTGGCCCTGGTCGGGTGCATGCGAGAGGCAACCAATCGATGTGGCTCTCTCACATAGATGTGTCTCTCTGTCTCTCCCCCTCCCTCCCACTCTCTTTAAAAATCAGTGGGAAAATATACTCGAGTGGGGATGAACAAAAGAAGAAGTGCTAGAATGAGAGCACTCTGGAGCCTTGTGTGTATAAAGCCCGGCCCTGTGTCCCTGGCGTTTCCAACTTCTTATAGAGCGTGCATCTCAAACAGCTGTGGGCTGGAGGGAGAGCCTCCTGTTGGGGCCCTTGTTTCCCGGGCCCCCCTCAGTGTCAACAGACTCAGCAGGGCATGGGACATCAGTCCAAGTACTGCCTTATTCCTGGTGCCCTTGTGCCCACTGAGGTTAGTGTAGAAAAACCTTGAACCTGTTCATAAATGTGGGTAGCTATTGTGCTGAGCGGAGTGTTGTAGAAGGCTGTTCAGGCCTGGCCTTTGCAGACATTCCAGATGGGGATGGGGGTCATGGAAGCCCTAGAGAAGGCCTCCCAGGACCGATGCCAGAGGCTGTATATCTTGAACAGTGTATATTCCTTTCTGGTCCCAAGACTGTCTAGGGCAGTGATGGCGAACCTATGACATGCGTGTCAGAGGTGACACTCGAACTCATTTTTTGGTTGATTTTTCTTTGTTAAATGGCATTTAAATAAATATAAAAAATATAAGTCTTTGTTTTACTATGGTTGCAAATATCAAAAAATTTCTATATGTGACACGGCACCAGAGTTAAGTTAGGGTTTTTCAAAATGCTGACACGCCGAGCTCAAAAGGTTCACCATCACTGGTCTAGGGAATGAATTTTGTTCTGGGCCTGATTCACACTTTTCCAAATGTTTGGGCATAGGAATGGTAAAATGCTGCAGATCTAACTTATGTTAAATGAATTGCAGTTGGGGATCTTTCAAAGTAGCTGTGAGGCCATAGTCATCAATGTTCATGGGGCAATAGAGTCTTTTGAAACCATGAGATTAACAGATATAAATGGGTGGGTCCATTAAGGAGAGCTAGGGATGTGCTTCTGGGTTTGCTATGAGGGCTGATGACCTTGGAACCTCTGTCTAGCAGGGAGAGACTGAACGATTGGTCTGCTCCATGGAGCAGACCTTATGTTTCTGCCTCCAGAGAAAGCCTTCAGCAACCCGACTGAGTGTCTGTTCTTTTACAGCTCCTTATGTGACGTATCTTAGTAAAGACCCATCCACCCCTTGCTCTCTGACCGATGCTCTGGATCACTTCCAAGTGGAGAGCCTGGATGAAATCATTCCGACTGACATGAGGAAGAATGACCTGCCTCCGCAGCACGCGCCCCGCAATATCACCATTGTTGCTATGGAAGGCTGCCACTCATTTGTCATTGTGGACTGGGACAAAGCCACCCCGGGAGATGTGGTAACAGGTGTGTCCAAGGCAGATGTTCAGAGTTCCCATCAACATGTAGGTGGGACATACAGATAATAATGGATGAACAGATGAGGATGAGTATATGGAAGGATGGATGGATGGATGCATGGATACATGCATGGATGGATTGGATAGATGGATGTATGGATACATGGGTGGATTGGATGAATGGATGAGTAGGTGCGTGGGTGGGCTAGATGGATAAATGCAGATGTCTTCTTTCAAAAGGATGAAATATATAGGCAGGTAGGGAAGTCCTGTGGGGCAGTATGAAGAGCACTGGATGAAGTCAGAAGTCCAGAATCCTAGTCCAAGATAGATTGCATGACCTTGAGCTACCTACTTCATCTCTCTGGACATTTGTTTCCTCTTATGCAAAATATTGTTACATCTTTTGCATTCTGTAATCCTGCAAAATAGCCAGGGAGTCCATGTAGCCACTTGTGAGATTAGATCCTACAGTATGATGGATGATGAAGAGCTCCTACCGTGTGCTACCTTGTGACTCTGCCTCTTCCATTTTCCATGCCTGCTGGGTGCTTCCAGATCAGTCTTAGTGCGTCTGAATTGCTTGTGTGGGAATTGGATGCGATGGACAAAGGCCCAGGCATCTTGAGCCTCCTAGATTCTTGGCCTGTGAGATGATCATGAGTTCATCTGACTCTGCCAAGGATATATTTGAGGAGAAATATATTGAAGTAAGTTTTTACCGAAGATAATTGATATTTTCTTTGAAGAGACCCTTCCTTTGTGAATGATTTCTTCTGAGCCTGCAAGTTGTGTAAGAGGAAGGGATATGTATGTGTGTGTGTGTCTCGAGCTAGATGGGTGATGGTGGTATAGTTTGACATTATCTGTCACTATTATGCTAATGTAGTTCATCAAAGTCATAGTACTTTTGCTTTATGTCCCTAATATTATCTCTTAAAATGAGAAAAAAGTATTCAAGAACATCCAAAAAGCAACTTTTCTTCTGGAGTTTGCACAGCAGCGCAAAAGCCAGGATAAGGGACACAGGAAAGAACGGCCCGGGTATTGTGCCAGGTGAGGTTGCAGGGCCCAGAGGAGCCATGATGGTGCAGGATCGAGGAGTCTGAGCCTTAGGTGTAACTAACAGTGCTGGTTACTCCAGTGTGCATGCTGCGTGGGCTGCTGCAGCCAGTATCTATGAAGTCCAACATGCTTCTAATAGGAAGCAGTAAATCAATGGAAGAAGGAAAGCTTGCAGTCAAAACATCCAGAAAATTCTTTTCATTGAATATGGTTTTATGAAGGGCAATTTTGAAAATCAAGCAAGCAAGCATACAGAAGAATCATTGAAAACCTTACCTTATACTGTTTAGCTTTTGATCTCTTGCACAACAGAGGTTACTTAACATAAGTATACCACTGCTCCCTGAGACCTGGGGCATTTGAGAAACACGGCTGCAGGATGAGAGTTATCAGTTATCCTTCAGGGATCGCCCCATTTGAGGACCCCAGGGAAGCTCTCCATGTCCACCATGACTAGGTCTCCCTTCACACACCTGGGAGCACGTGGACAGATCCTTCATAGTTCCAGTCACAGCTGTGTTATTCGGTCTGTCTGTCTGCTCTACTGCTCCCTGAGTCCTCAGCACTTAGTATAGTGTCTGAGCAATTGTGGACATGCAATAAATATCTGTTAAATGAATTAATGAATGAATTTGAACAAGATACTTAGCCCTCTCTAAGACTCACTTTTCTCATGTCAAAGTGTGGCTATTCATACCCATGCAGTAGGCCCAGGAGAATTAACCAAAGAGAAACGGCAAGTGTTTAGCATAGTGTTCGGGACATAGGAAGTGCTTGACAAGGGGTTCTCCCTTTGTGTGTAACATAAGAGATCTAGAACAGAGGATGCGGGCAGCTGTGCCATGAACTTCGCTTGGCCTTCTGAGGCAGCCTGGGCAGGTGTCAGGGCCGAGGGCCCACCCTCTGAGCTCTGTGAATAGCGATGAGGCAGAAAGAAGAGCTGCCTGACTGCTGTCATTAGACATCAAGGTCAAGGGCAAGAATGGGTATTCACCACGAGAAATCGTAGGGGAGCCTTCACCAGTCAGGTGAGACCTCAATGACTCCGGGGTCTTTCAGCCACACACGCGTACATGGCATTCCACAGTGTCTTTGTTTCATGTGAGAAACGGCTGGATGTGTCTCTACCAGGAAATAATCTTACGACTTGTGTGGCCGTCACTCCTCTCTTCCTCTGCTTCTCCTCGGCAGTCAAGATGAGGTGGGGTTAGGAAATGAGGGGGCCACGGGGTGTGGGAGACTAGGAGGGGGAGGAGAAGTGGGAGGCTAGCAAGTCTCAGGAAGTGTCTTTAATTTTGTCACCTGCATCTGGAGTCACCAGAAGATCCCAACATTACCCCCCATCCTCACCCAACACGCAGCGTGCTCTCTGTGGAAACTCCCGCAGAGCCGCCTCCACGCCGTCGCCTCACCCCCGCCCTCCTCCATGGGTTACACCTTTTGCGGGGCGTGGTTCCTTCACGCTCACTGGGTTCTTCCTTCTTCCCACACACAGGCTACTTGGTTTACAGCGCATCCTATGAAGACTTCATCAGGAACAAGTGGTCCACTCAGGCTTCGACGGTCACTCATTTGCCCATTGAGAACCTGAAGCCAAACACAAGGTAGGGCATGGCAGTCACTGAAAAACCAAACAATGAGACCCGTGGACACAGTGACAGGTATCCCTGGGCTGAAAAGGAAGAAGCTCAACCAAAATGTTTTTATGATTTCCTTTGCCTCCTCTTCAGTTCTGTAGCGTATCCATGGACACTTATATAGGACAGGTAGTTTCTTTGGAAGCAGTTACTGTGGTTACTGCAATTGTTAGTCTATTGTGTGGACATTTTGTTCCCTGGTTTCCAGAGACTCAACGCCGCCTACCACTGGGTAAGCAAAGATGTTCTGTATTGAAAAGGAAGTGATCCTTTTGTCGTCACCCGTGTGGCGGCGTTAGACAGCACACCCTCCCCATGTGACGTCAATGGAGCAGCCATTGCTAAACGTTTTAATTCACTGGTACTCAAACTCTATGATGTAAAGTTTAGATCATTCCAGGAATTAAAATAGGTTACAACCACGTCTTCCTACACCGGGCACGTGCTGGCTGGGCAGAGGGCCATCTGGGAGCCAGAGTTTACAGCCTCAGTGTGAAAAATGCAAGATGCATCCCCAGGGTCCAAAGTGGGGGAGTATGCATTTCTGCTTCTATACGATCTGGTTTGGAAGGTGATGACCAGGAAAGCTTCCCTGGTGGGTGAACACGGTGAAGCACGGGCACGGGATGGCCGAGCAGTGGAGTGCCTGTGACTCCTCTGGTCAGAGCCACAGAGAAAGGCTTGCCATGAACTCTCCAAAGCGGTGCAGAGCCACACTCGCAGGATGTACCCCTTCCTCACCTGCAGTAGCCCAGGAGGGCATTGGGGGGTGGGGGGACACACAGAGCTTCACAGTGACTGAGTGGGTACTAGGTGGTGCTGGGCCCCAGTCTCTCTAGCCACCGCTTTCATCCTGTAGCTCCCAAGAGAGCAAAGCAAGATGTCCCGGGACTCCCACCCCCGGGGGCCTAGCAGCCTCCCTCCAGGTGGATGAGCCGGTGTGCTTGCTGCCCATTCTCTGTTCCAAGACCGAGGAGAATCTCGAGAAGTTCTCCAGGCCGCTTCCCACCCCTTCCTGGACTCGCTCCTCTCTCCTGGAGGCGCAGAAGCTCGAAACTCTTCTAAGGCTTCCGAGCCAACCACAGCGCTTGTCATGCAACCAAAACACGTTGGTCGCCTCTGGACCAGTTCTCCCTCTCTGCCCGCGGTCATGGCGGGCCCCACAGCCTGCTCTTCCATGCGGAGCCCAGTGGCGCCCTCCGGAGCCTGGCCCTCCAGCGGGGCCCGAGCAGGACAAGAGGAGGTTCCTCCCAGGGCCCAGTTTCACGGCAGAACCACCAGGTGCCCTAAGGGACACACTCTCTCTGTGACGCCCCGTCTGCTCCCAGTGGCCACAGGTCTATGCTGTTCATTGTATTATTTTGAAAAGTTATTAGAAAATGAGAAAGTTCAGAGAACGATGAAGAAATAGCAGGGATGTGTGCATTAGTAAAAAAAAAAAATAGGACTCAATGTCTGCCACAGAGTAAGGAGTTGGGAAGTCTGTCTTATTACAGAACTTAAACAAGCGTCTCTCTCAGCAAGCGTTTTCTTCCCATTTCAGGTATTATTTTAAAGTTCAAGCCAAGAACCCTCAGGGCTATGGACCCATCAGCCCGTCGGTCTCATTTGTCACGGAGTCAGGTACGGCTGCCTTCACTTCTCATTTCTCCCTTTTCTCAAAAACAAATAATTTGGAATAATGACTGCAATAGAATAAAAACTGGAAAATTAGAATCCTAACTTGTCTATTTACTGAATTCATATTGGCTATTGCTTTATTAAATAAACATCACTTTCTGCTAGGTTAAAACTTGGACAATAATATTCAAAGTAGTCTTTTTTGGAACTGCCTGGGAAATGGAAAGGTCAAATTCCAGTGAAAGGGGGGATCTAGTTCTCAGCCACGCAGGAAAGATAGTCTGAATCTCTCCGCAAAAGATTTCCTGGCAGAGGTAATTTTTTCATTGCAAACAGCTGAAGAGCATAACTAGCCTGAGGCCTGAGAGGCAGCTGCTTCTAACAATGAGTTACGTCTCTAAGATGCTTATTTAATTGTTTAAGATTTTTTTCTTTTTTAAAAATATATTTGTATTGATTTCAGAGAGGAAGGGAGAGAAATAGAGAGAGAGAAACATGAATGATGAGAGGGAATCATTGATCCGCTGCCTCCTGCCTAATGCATCAAAACATGGAGAAGAAAATGAAATATTTTTGAGAATATGCTCTATACTGGAAATGTAGGCAAAGGACCTCAACAGCACTTTCACCTATTTCATCTAAGAAGTGTGTTTCTCGTTAGTAATCAAGAAGAAGCCATTATCAGTGGTTAATGTGCTAACGTGGGGAATGTGTCTATATTTATGGCTACATTTCCTAAAAAGAAAATGGACTTTTGGCAACTTTCAGGATCAACCTGATAAAAATCTATCAGAAGAAAACCAAATTATTCACACTTAAGCATCTATCAAGAACCTGATGTCTGAAATCTGAGGGCAGGAAGGCACATGTGTAGCTCATTCTCGTTTATTACTCAGCAGCATTCCTTGCACGGCGGCTGCACCACAGTGAGCTTCTCCACTCACCTGCTGGTAGACATCGGGCTGTTTCTGCTTTTTGACTATGAAAAATAAAGCTGCTGTGAGCATTCATGTATACAAGTGTTTGCCGGGACATGTTTTAATTTCTCTTGGATAAGATCTCAAGGCTACAAAGGGTGGGTTGTACAGTAGGTGGGTGTTTACCTTTTTAAGAAACCACCAACCTGTTTTCCCAAGATGAACACGTTTTAAAACATAATGAGTCTTTCATTATTTTGTGGTACCCAGTGTCAAAGTATTATCTGCAGACACCCACAACTTCTATAAAAATAATGAAGTATTTCTCAAAAGAAAGTGCTCAGAAAATAAAAACTAACAAAAAAATGTTGGCCTCTGACAAAGAAACCATATATTTTTTCTTTGCTACTCCAGTTGGGTTAGCCCTCTCGGTTATAATACACATTAAGCACTGGCATGGTTGTGAAATGTGATAATGGAGTCATTTTTTTTTCATTCTACAGACAACCCTCTGCTTGTTGTGAGGCCACCAGGTAAGTCTGTCTTCTTGATAAACTCCATATTTGAGTAATCATGTTGAACACTGACTATGAGATTGTTACAAGTGCTGGACCATTTTTGCATTTTTATAATATTAGGAAAACATCGGTGGTTTCTTTACTCCCTTCATCCTAATCCAGGGAAAAGTGATCTGGGAATTTTTTAGTAGCAGCCAATATTGATTAAAAAACCATTTTGGGTGGCCAAGCTCTCTGAGAACAGATAAGTTTATTTTCATCCAACCCCCTTTGAATATTTTAAATATTTGAAAAGGTAGCAAAATGCATTAAGTGTATAACAAAATTTTACTTTGTTTTTAAATAACCTGAGAAAGCTCTATTGCTCAAGTTCAGGATGGGTCTTCTGAGTGACAAGAACAGTAGGAGTCTATGCAGAGGGACCTGGTGGGGGGTAGGATGGCATGCCTTGCAAGATCAACTTGGCCTCGATAGCTTATTGCCCTTGAGGCATAATGCCTTTTCCTTGCACTGAGAATCTCTTCACTATGTTCGAGTAAAAGGAACTCCACAACTGTGTTTCAATCCTAAGAAGGCAAAGGAAAGAGAAAGAGGATGCCCACTGGGAGGTGGGAAAGCTTGGCTCAGGGAAGCCCTGAGAAGGAAGGCCCAGCAAATAAGTCAGATCTCTGGTACTTGGTGCGAGAATAAACACTGGAGCGCCATGCCCTGGTGTGTTTTTGTTGTCAAGGCGGCGAGCCCATCTGGATCCCATTTGCTTTCAAACACAACCCTGACTACACGGACTGCCACGGCCGGCAGTATGTGAAGCGGACGTGGTACAGAAAGTTTGTGGGCGTCATTCTCTGTAACTCACTGCGGTACAAGATCTACCTCAGTGACAACCTGAAAGGTAGGTCTTTGAGGCTGGTTGGCTGTGGGAGGGTAGGAAGAATTTTTATTTTATGAGCTACTCACTTGACATAGCAGGTGTGTGAGGATATATTTAGGTTTAGCTCACATACAAACCAGCTTGGCAGGCTCTGTTTTAGGGTGATTCGTTCCTACACTGGCACCCAGAAAGATACATATTTTAAATCTACCTTTTAGGAATGAAGTCCAAAATTCTGACATAAATTTAAAGGCCAGTTTTTGCTGTTAACGCAATAACAGGTATGAGTATAAGCTGGAAGCATTGAGGAAAACACTCCCTTCGTTTCCTGCTACTGGCACAACTTTACAGAGAAAAAGACACAGATGGTCAAACATGCATTATCAGTACCATCTTTTCCAAATAACAATTACATCGTCTTCATCGTGGGTGGGAGTAAAACAAAGGGTAACATGCACTTTGACCTACTAACGTTCCAAAATGCCATCTGACCCAGCTGGCTTTGCCTCATTCACCTACACAAACTTGTTTTTATTTATTTTTTGTTTTTGAGTTTTTCCCTTTATTTTTATTGTTGACACTATTACAGATGTCCCCTTCCCCACCCTTTGCCTGCCTCCACCCAGACCCCAATTTTATTTCAAAATTTGCACAATGTTAGTAAATACATTTTTCAATTTTTCCTCAGCTGCTCTATATTTTATTATGGTTTTTTGTTGTTGTTTTTTTCTTGCTAGTGGCATCATTTCAAGATAATGTCAAAACAAAATCTCCCTTACAGTCCTCCACGCTGGCAGTTTGTCAGTGTATATGCCTCTCCCAACACTCACTGTCTGTATCTCTCTCTGCCCTTCTCCTCCTGTGATTCGGAATTCCTAGGAGAGGTGCACAGCCTTCAGCATCCCAGGGTTGAGAAAAACAACTTTGTCCTACTGTGCAGCTGTGTTTCAGCACCACGGACAGTGCCTCATGGCACAGACACACACTCTACTAGTTATAAATGAAAATAGGTTCTTCTATTTCTATAGATCTTTGTACCTTTCACAGTGGAGCCTCTAGACTAGATTAGTTTCATTTGTCCTTTTTTTAAAAACCAAGGATTAAAAAAGTATACCATTTATAGTCTGAAACTGCCTGTAATATTAATGGTTTCCATTTAGTGAACACTTGTTAAGTATTTAGCATACATGATCTCTGACACCTTAAACACTTATGGGTTGGTGCCATTATCACCAAGTTTCAAACATGGAAAGTATGACACACAGAGTTTAGTAATGTACCCACTTCAAATAGTCTCCAAAGCCCAGGCAAACTCCTAAACCAGCTGCGGCACTTTTTGAACAGTCACTGACTTATCTTATTCCTCCACAAAGACACATTCTACAGCATCGGAGACAGCTGGGGAAGAGGTGAAGACCATTGCCAATTTGTGGATTCACACCTGGATGGGAGAACGGGGCCTCACTCCTACATAGAGGCCCTCCCCAGCATTCAAGGTAATGAGAACACAGACCTGGCATATTCCACTGGGGGTGAGAGAGGAGGACTGATATGGGGAGAAAATGCACCGTGGCCCTGCCTTTGGTGTACCGCTTGATGACAGGTTGTTGGTAGCATTATAGCTCATGACAATCAAACATTAACAAAATACACCTACTGTGTGCTGGAGTTGGGTACGCCTAGGGAAAGAAGAGCTCGATGGAATATAAGACCTCATCCCTACTCTCAGGAAGATGGTCCATGACCAGAAAGAGAAGCTAAGTATCTGAAAGGCAACTAACAGATACAACTTAAACTGTAGATCGGGGGTCCTCAAACTTTTTAAACGGGGGGCCAGTTCACTGTCCCTCAGACCGCTGGAGGGCCGGACTATAGTTTAAAAAAAAACTATGAACAAATTCCTATGCACACTGCACATATCTTATTTTGAAGTAAAAAAACAAAACGGGAACAAATACAATATTTGTATTTGCATGTGGCCCGCGGGCCGTAGTTTGAGGACCCCTGCTGTAGATAGTGACAAGAGTTATGTCACATGGTCGTCCTGTTGTCAGGCGATTGAGCAGATTACAGCCACTGTCTGAGTGTGAGGGAGGCCGGCCATCGGACACTGTTGGGGAAGGTTTTCAGAAGAGACAGAGTCAAAAAGAGGCCTAGACACACACAGAGTGGAGGGCCTATGTGGGGAGAATGGCAGGAACAGTAAGGAAGAGAAAAATAAACAAGTGCAAACCAACCATGACCTGCTTCCGGAGACAGTCTATCAGCTATTTGATGATGGCTGTTATAAGGTGGGAACAAGTGTATTCACCTCAAGGGTGAACACCTTGCGATATGTTACTTACTCCCCCAAAAAACAAATAATCAGAACTGAACGAAGTCCAGCACTTTTCCCATTATGCACTCAATTCTCAACAATCTGGCATTTTCAAGACATGAGATGTTTTCTGATCCATCGACATTTTTAGCTCGGGGAAAAAAAATGGTACAAAATTATTCATTTTCAAAGAAGTAAAATACAATAAAATACATAAAACAATAAGTGTATTAAGGTTCTCCAGAAAAACAAAACCAGTGGGGGGAAGGGAGAGAAAAAGGGAGAGAGGTGCTTATTTCAAGGAATTGCCTCATGTGATGGTAGAGGCCGGCAAGCCCAGAACCTGAGGGGCCAGCAGGCTAGAGACCGGGAGAGTCAGTGTTTCCGTGCGAGTCGCTGGCAGAGCACTGTCCTCTTCACGGGAAGGAAGTCTCTTTTGGGCCTTTAACTGATTGGATGAGGCCCACCCACAATATGGAGGGAAATCTATTTTACTCAAAGTGTTGCGATTTAAATGTTAATCTCATCTAAAACACACATTCACAGAAAGACCTGAATAATAGTTGACCAAATATCTGGGTCCCATAGCCTAGCCAAATTGAATACAGAAAATTAACCATCAAAATAAACATATTAAATATAGGGTGTCCCAACAAATGTATACGCACACTTTGAATAATTATAAAGGCAGTGTTTATTAAAATACATCCCATTTTCAAAATTGAGCTATCCGCTGTTAAAACATGTACACATTTGGGGGAGACACCCTATATACAGGTATAAGTGCTTTTCCAAAGTCACCTTACTAACATCGACAGGTGTGGTGGAAAGGGGTTTGTTACCAATATCAGGACTCCTTTATTGCTCTTATCTCTTAGGAAACCCCATGGATTTTAGGAACGCTGTGCCGGGAACAGGGATAAAGACCAAATACATATTTCTTACTATAAATGGCAGTATCATAGATACATTTCTCTCCTCTTTTTCCTTTTCCTGTTCCAGGCTACTACCGCCAGTATCGCCAGGAGCCCGTCCGCTTTGGCAACATTGGCTTTGGGACCCCCTATTACTACGTGGGCTGGTATGAGTGTGGCGTCTCCATCCCAGGGAAGTGGTAACCACGGGACGAGCGTGCGGAAAGCTCGCCCTGCCCGGCCCCCTGGACTAACTCGCACTGAGGGCTGAGCAGGAAAAGGAAGACGGTGCCTGTTCCAAGCCCCTCTGCCCCGTGTCAGCAAGGCCACAAGGTGGACATTGGATATTTGGGGCATCTTCAGTCTGGACTCAGCCCCACTTCCTGGCCTGGACCACACACGGGATTCAATGTTACTGTTAAGTTTGCTTCTCCACACGTTTTGCTTATAATAGCACATCCCAGAGACAACCAAAGCACACAGCTACCAGGGATGCCCACTGATTCAGGGTGATTTTCACACTTCTTAGGCACAATATCCAGACCATCGGTATCTCCAGAGAACAGCAGAAGCTGGCTTCATGGGATGCTACACGCTCTCTTTTTTCACCAGACTCCTCCCAAACTAGCTGACGTTATGCTCCTGGCCTCTTTCTCTGCAGTAGAACTGAATTACTCAAATCACCCAAGGAAATATATCCTGCTTAAGATTTATCCCATGGACTCACCCACTGCTAGACCAATTGTATCAAATCTTGGTAAATCTCATTTTGATATATATATGTATATATGCATATACATATCCACACTTGTCTGCAAGAGCATTGATTAAAATGGCTAAATTTGTACCTGTTTACCAGATAAAGGTGTGTGGGACTTTTGCGAGCAAAGGTGCTGTTTACGAACATCTTATTGAGTGTCCAGAGCATGCGTACTCGGCAGTGGAAAGCCACGCCTCCGTCCTGTGAGTGCTGAACTGTGGGTGGCGGGGATACTGCCGCACGGGTGGCAAACTCATTGCAGACTGAGTGCCTTTGATCTCCCACGCCCGTGTGGAAACGCGCGGCTGTCTCCGTGGGGACAGACCTAGCATGTTTGCAGATTAAAAGTTTAGGTCCTGAATGATTCGAAAATCCAGTCTTAAAGAAACTCCTTTCCCTCTCCTGCCCGTCTCAGTGTCTGCTTCTTGAAATAAAGCACCTTACCCCTCTTCGCCGCAGCTCACGTGAGTTTATTTGAAACACGGTGTATAAGTGAATTTTTCTAATAAGCAGGTAACTGGCTTTGGCACCCACCAGCTGGCCATCACCGTCGCCATCAGAGGGAGAGAGGCTCCAGGCTGAGGCCCCTGGGAGAGCCTGCAGTTTGCAATTTCCTGAGTGTTCCCTCGGGTGTGAATCATTCATTAGCCATCAGTGCGCATAGCCGGCCTGGTCACGGCCTCCTCTGGGAGAGATGGGGATCCGGTCAGCAGAGGAGCAGGCGCTTCTCTCCTTCGCGATCCACACTCTACATAACCACACGGCGTGTGCCCTGCTCCTTTCACACACTAAGGGCTTCCTGCTCACTCCTCAGAAGCACATGGAATCCCCTGGCGTTCACTCAACAGTGAACACGGAGCCCCGTGATACCAGAGGCTCTATTTCATTATAGAAACCTGCACTTCTATTAGAAAGAAGTGTTTGTGCCCTGGCCGGTGTGCTCAGTGGTCAGAGCATCAGCCTGCGCACTAAAGGGTTGTGGGTTTAATTCCTGTCAAGGGCACGTTCCTGGTTGCAGATTCCTGGCCCCCGGTGGGGGTACGTGTGGGACGTAACCAATAGATGTGTCTCTCACATTGATGTGTGTTTTTTTCTCTCTGCCCCCACTCTCCCTCCCTTCCACTCTCAAAAAAAAGAAAAGAAAGAAAGAAATGGAAAAAATATCCTCAGTTGAGGATTAACAACAACAAAAAAGTGTTTGCAAGTTTTGATGGAAATTACTACAAACCCCAGATGATAGAGCAGCCAAAACAAAAACACCGGCTCTGAGCCAAGGTGGTACGATTACCAAAATTCTGTCCAAACGTGGTTACGTCACAGTTCACATGAGTGCTCGTGGCCACATCAGCTCCGGCTCCGTGTCCACTCAGGAGGCCACGTTTCAGGAACGCAATGGGCCTGAAAACCACTTCGTGTCAAGTCAGGAGGACATTAATGGGGCCATTTTCCTGAAGCCTTTGTCTATTTCAAAGGCTCAAAGAAGCAGCGAGTTTGCCAGCTCTAGAGGCAGAAGTAGCACAGGTGGGGATTCAAGAAAAAGAACACGTGACTTGAACAGCGAGGAGCGAGCCTCTTTGGGAAGCAGGGAGAAGTCCGTCCCTGAGAAGCCGGAAATGGCACGGGGAAGGTCTAAACTTGCGCTCGGAGGCCCCGGCCTGTGTTCACATGGCCTGCGAGCCCAGAATGGCTTTTCAAAGGGCTGTAAACCAAACAAACAGACAAGTAAAAAACTCAGTATTAGTCAACAGAAACCATATGTGGTTCACAGGCCTGAAATATTTACCATCTTACCCTGTAAGAAAAAGTTTGCACAGCCTTAGGTTAGAGTTTTCCTGGGGTTTAAAGACAGTTTAAGCAAAGTCCTAATTAAAAACTATCACATCACATAGGACTTCATAGATGTTTGTTTTCCTCGTACTTATGTTTGGAAATTGATGGATATGCTTAGGATGAAAATGTCGAGGAATTCAGTGTGTGTGTGGGGGGGGGCAGGGCGGGCGGGGGGCGGATTCAAAGGTGGATCTGCAAGGTCTGTATGGGAACTAGTCCTGCTCTAGAAAACGTTCGAGATTCATGCGGGGGTGCGGGGGGCGGTGCTCAGAGCTCCCTGGCACCACGTGTCCAGTCTGGCTCAGCACCTGTGGGCTCCGACTCAGACTGAGAGGATGTGGGGGTGTGGACACAGCCAGCTCGTGCCCTCAGCACGTGGGGATGTTTGGAAGCAACAGCAGGCTCTCTTCGTGGCCCAGCATTTCTCCACCCTTCCTCGACTTCCACAGCTGTCAGTGGCCTCCGTGCCAGGGAGTGTGCAGACATGACGAATACGAAGAGTCCATGTGCACCTCAGCGTTCACAGTCTACACTAGAACAGCACTTGAGAAGCTGGGCTGGTTTGAAAGCTTGGGGGATGATACCTACGTGATGGGCTTTTTGTGTGTGTTTGTTGCTCTGGGTGCTGACATCTCTGTTGTTCTAGCTTCATCGAAGCACAGCTGCTCGGAGACTTGGTAAATTCCGTTCACAGCATTTCTGGGTTGCCTCGCTGTATCGGAAATATTTGTTTGGTGACCACAGCTTCGTTCTGTTTTTGATGCTGAATTGGAAAATGCTGTTTGTCCTTTGGGAATGTTCTAGTTAATGAGGAACAGATGGTGGTCTGAGAGGTACGGGACTTGTTGACTAGTCAGAAGATCCTCTTGGTGTACATTTAGGGCTTTCTCTGTAGTATGGGTATTTCTGAAGTGATGTGTAATTAGTGAGTGGAAAATAACTTGTATCCTAGTTCATGGTTCAAATACAAGGTCAATATTATCAGTGCATCCATGTATATACTAGTACATCTGTAACAGACAACTTTACTAAGTCCTTCCTAAGTGTCAGGGACCCTTCTGAGTACAGATTTATTCTTTGGTGTTTTTTAAAAAAAATAAAAAACACACACACCAACCATTTTAGTGAGGCATGGTTGGCATACAAAAGGCTGTATATAATTAATGTGTACAATGTGATAAGTATATACCTGTGAAACCATCACCACCATCTGTACCAGAAACACACCCGTTACCTTCAAAAGTTTCTTCCCACCCTCTCAGTTTATTATTTTGTGTGTGTGTGTGTGTGTGTGTGTGTGTGTGTGTGTGTGTGATAAGAACACTTAACATAGGACCTGCCCTCTGAGCAAGTTTTAAGTGTGCAATACAGTATTGTTAGCTACAGGCCCTGTGCTGTACAGGAGACCTCTAGGCCTTACTCGTCTTGCATGACCAAGACTAACACCTCTGCATTTCCCCTCCCCAACCCCTGGCAACCACCATTCTCCTCGCTGCTTCAAGGGTTTGTTTTAGATTCCACAGGTAAGTGGAATCATGCGATACGTGTCCTTCTGTGACTGGCTCATTTTACTCAGTCCTCTGGGTTCATTCATGTTGTCACAATTGGCAGGGATTTTCTTCTTATTAAAGGCTGAATATTCCACTGTGTGTGTGTGTGTGTACCGCAAGATTTATAGTGCACACTCCTGAATTTTGACAAATTTATAGTCATGTAAGCACCACTATAATTAAAACAGACAACAGTTCCATTACCCCACACACACACACAAATTCCTCCCCCTCGCCCCCCGCCCCCCTGACATCAACAGATCTGCTTTCTGTCTCTGTTCTTGCCTTGTCTAGATGGTCATGTAAAAGGACAGTTCTATTTCTTCCTTTCCGATCCATTTGCATCTTATTTCTTTTTCTTGCCTATCACTCTGGCAAAGACCTCTCTACACTGATGAAAGAAGACATCTTCGCCTTGTTCCTGATTCCAGAAGGAAAGCTTTTGGTGTTTCACCGCCAAGTATGATGTTAGCCAAAAGCCAAGTCAAGTTGACACGTGAAACACCATCATGAATTGGAACGCCAAGAGGTCGGGGATGTGGCGTGCTGAGCGCCTGGACCATGTCCGGCTCACAGGTCAGGGAATGCTGGACTCCGTGCTGGGCCATGCCCATGCTCTAAACCCAACGCAGGAGAGATCCATTCCCAGAGTTACACAGCAGGCAGGGGTGCAACTGAGATAATTACTCAGAAGACCATTGTGAGGACTGAGCAAGATAATTTGTTTAAGGTACTTAGTGCCTTGCATGTAGTCAATATTCAATAAATTGCAACTATTATCTGATGAATGACAGTGTACCTCAGTTCTCTGGTCTCGAAGAGCCGACCACATGTTCATAAATGCATGTGGTCTCCTTCACTTGCCATGTTATGGTGGATGAACTGCTTACCCGTGGTTGGCAAACTGTGGCTTGCGAGCCACATGCAGCTCTTTGGCCCCTTGAGTGTGGCTCTACCTAAGCCTTAGGAGTACCCTAATTAAGTTAATAACAATGTACCTACCTATATAGTTTAAGTTTAAAAAATTTGGCTCTCAAAAGAAATTTCAATCGTTGTACTGTTGATATTTGTCTCTGTTGACTAATGAGTTTGCTGACCACTGGCTTAGACTGTTATGGGCTCATTAATTGTTCAGAAAGCATTGTTCATATGCTCGGGGTTTGATTAAAATTCAAGTGCATTTACACATCCTCTTTCTGCAGTTTCAATGCCATCCACCTGGTAATAGAAACTGGATCCCTACACTGATGATCCATCTATATCTCATTGACTAGAATTCTATTCAGTTGGAGCCAAGAAGACTGCCTTTTCTTTGTGATAAAAGCAAACGCCACATTTTTGCAAAGGAGGAGTAACAAAGATCTGAGTTCAGTCTGAAATTCTAAACTCACTACTTTTCAGTGGCTTCTAACCTGGGCCTAAAGGGATAGCCCTCAGTTTATAAAATATTGATACTTCCTCTGTTTCTGCTACAATAACTGGTGCAAAACAGACATCTCTAGATTCATCCCCCCCCCCCCCCAAAAGCCACCAATATGCTCTAAGACCTTTCCAATGTCTCATCACATACGGCCAATGGGGCCTCCTTAAAGAAAACCCCTGAATTTTGACACCGACATAAAATGAGTTCTTACATTTCTTCCATGTGGGAATAAAGTATGTATATAAGAGAGGGGTTATAACGTTATATATGCCTGTTTCTACAGGAAAACC